ATTTTCATTTCTTGGAGCAATGCCTTTTGTGAGAGGTTTGATCTGATAAAAAGGAACTCGTTATGAGTATTTCTCATATCGCTTGCTGATTGGAAAGTAGGAGAAGTTTACATCAAAGAAACATGAACATTTTGTCCGATTTGGGCATTTTCTCCTGGGATCAGAGATATCTGCCTGATTCCAAATGCGCGCTATACGATGTTAAATCGCCAATTTTCGGAAGCACAACCATCTTCGTCTCCAGGTACATATTTTTTTAGGAGAAAAGTAATAGATGTCAACGATATGTACAGCACTTTTTGATAAATTGTTATTTCATAAGAAAACACGGTCTCAAAATCACGAACAGACCATGTGTTAACATCTTTTAGAATTGCAATGAAAAGTAGGAGTCGAGAATTTGTTCATATGGAGCTTTCCTTGACTTTACAGGCTGAGGCCTAGCGAAGAATGTTGAAATAAACCGTAAAAAGTCCTTTTGAAATTTTTTTTCTGATTCGAATTTGCTATCACCATTCCCGAGAGTCGAAGGATTATTCACAATATGTTGACCAAAATAAAAGTTTCTTCTTAGCTGGCCGTGGTCGTGGAGGCGGACCTGACGGCTACAGCAGTCGAGGCGGTTACGATGGCGGTCGCGGCGGTTATGAAGGTGGTGGCCGCGGAGGATATGATGGTGGTCGAGGTGGCTTCGGCGGTGGTCGTGGTGGATATGATAGTGGTCGAGGAGGATATGACGGTGGAAGAGGTGGATATGACGGTGGACGCGGTGGCTACGACGGAGGCCGCGGAGGATTTGGTGGAGGAAGAGGAGGGGGATTCGGTGGTGGCGGCGGCGGATTTGATGATGGAGGTCGTGGAGGTTTTGGTGGAAGAGGCGGTGGACGAGGAGGAAGAGGAGATTTTGGAGATAGAGGTATGCTCCCTTTGAAGGAGAGGTGAAAATATTGCCACAATTAGATATACTATTAATTGCATCATGACACTAAGATAAAATCTCTTAATGCAAAATCGGTATTCTACGAACGATGATTGAGAAGGTCAAGTGCGCTGACAATAAAATGTGAAGAAGAGCTAAGCTGAAGTGATAATAAATAATTCAGCGTAATAGTCTTAGTCGAACCCTAAACTTGTCCTCATAAGAATCTGCCAGATTAATAAGAAAGGCGAATTTGGTTCAATGTACAATATCAGATTGGCTTAATATTTATTCGTTATGTATTACCAAATGAGAGGAGAACGTGCAGGAGGCTGCAAAGAATTGCTGCTTTTGCCTACGGGATACCACAAGAAACTTCGGTTCTCCTTGCGCCATTAATTGCTGAATGCACCGATGCAGTCCTTCCTCACCCATTGAGTACATCGAAAGCGTGAAAAATTAACGTACAAACTCTCGAAATAGACGAATAGAAGTAGAAAAGCAGAATATCAATCAGCGCAATTTAGAGCATAGGTACTATATAAACAAGTGAAACTTTGATTCCCTACTTTAAAGTGATTTAGCTCTAACTATAGGGAAAAATTTTGACGCAACAAATTCAAATCAACTATTTCTAGAAGTAAGAAGAATCTTAAAGAAAGATATGATGCTCGCTCTTATATACACCATAATTGTTTTATCCGATGTGATGGTGATTTACATAGGACCAATAGTTTGAAGTCCGTATGGCCCTTAGCATTTTCACTCGCTTTTCTCTACAAATTGCAATATTATAACCTAATTTGAATCATATTTCGGACTGAATAGGGGAGGTAAACCTTAGGCTGTCATAAAGGCAAAGGAGAAAAATCTTTGCAGCCTCTTGCCGTGCCGCCTAAATGAGGTCACATTTCTTTAGGTTTCTGTGTATGTCAAAACATTTTTGTAATTGCAGTGAATGTATCATAATTGATTTGGCTCTTGTTGAGCTGCTATCTTGACTATTTATGTGTTTGATCGGGTCGTCACCATCGCGCAATTTGATGTACCCATAGGATCAAACTGCACTTCTGCAGCTAATGCAGGGGTATGGCTCACTTCGAACTACGAGTGCATGTACATTTTGAAAATACTTTTCTTTTTCGATTCCCTGAAAACTTTTAAAGATAATAGGTTTATGCAGCATTTTCTATTGGCTTTCTGGGCAAGTTTTATTGGTGGAAAAAAACGCATTTAATTTCAGCTATCGGAGCAGAGGTCATCGAAAACGTAGTTACTAAAAGCGCGTTCACAAATTCGTCTGAGTATGAAATGAGCTTGTGTTTAAATAGTGTTTAGAGCAATATAATATGCTTGAATAATATCAAATGCTTACGATTAGACTTCACCAGAAATTTCAGATGATGGCTTCAGCGCTGGCTCAAGAAATCATTGAAATTATCTGAAGATTGTTCTAAAAACCCTGTTTTTAATGAGTTTTTGTTGATACTCTAAGCCCAACTATGATACCTATGTAATACAGTAAGCATTTTAGGAGTCCAACAGCAGCGGTAAAGTCACCTACTACTTTTTATAATAATCTAATTATGATCGCCATACAAAAACCGTTTATGGATGGCGATCTAAAGTCAAACCGATTTTTAAAATGTTCGTCAAAGCTAGAAAGAAGTTGGAACTTATCACTATAATAACGACTACAGTGGTATAGCACGGTGACTAACTAAACGATATTGTGCTTATTTAGGCAGCCGCGATGGTGGATTTGGAGGCCGTGGAGGCTTTGGCGGTGGACGTGATGGTGGGTACGGTGGCGGTGAACGTCGCGGACCAAGCCGCTGGGATGACGGCGGTCGGGGCGGTGGTCGAGGAGGCTTCCGTGGCGGGTAAGAAACAATACCGAACTTTCTTTGCTTTTCTAAAAAATTTCGTTATTTGGCCTTCGCTCATGGAGCTCTCAGTTGAGAAAACGTTCGTGTGGTGATGTGAAACCTTATTATGGTTAAAGCTAATGTTATAGAGTTTAAGTGTTCTGGCCAACTGGGCCACTCATTGCAGACGGTTATTATGAGTTACGGTGTTTGGTGAAGTGGTGTTGAGGTAAGTTTGTACGGACTTAGTAAAGGTGACGGTTTTCACTTTACAACTGAATGCACTAGAGATTTGGTCGGGCAATCCAAGTATAGCGGGTCGACGAAGAAAACCTAA